GAATTCCAGCTTAGTAACCTGAGCAAGCCTACGAGGGCTTTCCATGTGCTGCAAGAGTTGAGTTCATCAAGTTGCACATGCACTTGAAAAATTCAAGCAAACAGTAGTGAGAGACGAGTTTGTGTCTTTCCCTGTGAAGATCCAGAGTTACTATCAGAAGATATTTTCATGAAGTAAAGAGTTGGAGCCCTAAATGAGATCCCAGCATATGCGCTGAGGTAGAACTGGGTTAGGCTCCGTGTCTGACATGAGCAATACAACCCATGTAGTTGTATGGGAATACATTATCCTTTAGCTTGAGTGTGTCACCAATTACTAACTTGCAGACAGTGTTTTGTGAACAGATCTTGGAGTACAAGCCTATTCCATTTTCAAAACCACCAGAACAGTCCTATCTTCAGCTATTTCCTCCAGCGTTATGTGATTCAGAGCATGACTCTGAGTGGCCTCTGGTTAGGTATTAAAAGAACAAAAAGATTTTCTCCTGTTACAAATGGCAAGAGACAATCCAGCAATTAAAGCTTTTGTTCTCAAAAAAGCCAGTTGTTATTTGAAGAATTTTGGATGATAAAATGCCTTTAAACTTACATCTCTTCAGGTTTACATCTCCTGTGCAGGTCCAGGAGTTGGACTCAATGATCATTGTGGATCCTTTCCAACTCAGGATAACCCATGGTTCTATAATTCTGTATTCTATATGTTTTTGTTCTTCTCTATGAGCTTTTGTTCTTCCATTCCTGGAGTTCCTGCTGAAGTAATCAGCAGCATTAGCCACTTGCTGGGGATGAGTGATTGTCTGTTGTCTGCAGGTGCATCACAAGTCCTTTCCTGTGATGCTTTTTATTCTCAAGCGCCTGTTGGGAATTCCTGAATGCCCAGGGGGCTGGACTGAATGGAAGATGGAATTAGGTGAAAAGCATAACATCTCTGTCCTCCTTAACAACCTGAAGTGAGGTCAGTGCAACAATAGTTTACTGCTATTTCAGACCTGCCAGATCAACATTCTCTATTGTTTTATTGGTAATAATTCAGATTTCCTGACAAACTGGTAGTAGGGTGATAATTTTGATTTTTGCTAGAAGCTTTCTGCAGTGTTAGGCAGTGTCCCACCTGCTCACAACCAGCATGCACTCAAGGGTGGAGCACAGTCTGTAGTTTGACTGTTATTGTATTTGTTAAATATCTGCGAGGAGGCTTGAAAGCAGAAATGTTCTGTTCTCTGAGGCCTGTAAAGGGGAACAAACTTGCAAGGCAACCATTCCCCTATGTGGGAAAGAACAATAGGGTTCTAAAAAAAGGCCTTGTTTTCTTCTTAGTAAATACTGCATGAAGGGATGTTTTCCTTAATGTAACCTTTAGCTTCAATGTGCAGCGATGCTTTTACTCAGCTGGCAGCTTTTAAAGTTTTTGGCTATGCTTTATAAATGGCAGGGATGCACTTGCCAGAGTGGTGGGAGACTGGCATTAACTTCTGTCTGGAGAAAAGAAAATGGTTTGTCTATGAGAGGTGCTCCAGTACCACACAGTGCTACTGTTTAAGTAGGATGATTATCACATCATTGTTGGGACAGTCATGAGGGGGTATTAAAAAGCAAACAAAAATTGTGGCCGTTGCTTCCTGATGTGAAATGCTAGCATCTTTCTATTTAAGGCTTTGAATGGGTCTGTTACTGAGCAGCTAGAAGCGCAAGTGTTCACTGAAGCCCAATGCTTTAGCAGAACCTTAGACTTACAGCAGGCTGAACTGACAAACTCACACTAAAAATTGTCTGGACTCTGTGTATCCCCTCAGGTCTGTAATGAGAAAGAAAGCTCTAGGGTTAGATTGAAAATAAATGGAGGACCATTCAAACAATCTTCCCACTTTGGACAAATTATGGCTTTTTTATTGACTTGATACCTCTGATTTTATTAAATTTTTTTGATAGATATTCAGTAATACTTTAGTACTTTCTTAGGTGGGCCTATTCATCTTGACATAATGTTTAACACCTTTTTTCTTAATTAATTTAATCTAGTTTTCCAGAGAGCAATAGCATAGAATCTTGGGCTAAGAAAGAAATCTGTAATTTAATAATCTGCTGATGTCATGGACTGTCATGAAAAGTGGAAAACTACAATTAAATTATAACCATTGTCTCTCAATGCAATCTGGAATTGATGACTGTTTCCATATGTAATTAATACGTCTATTCTTATTTAGAAACCTTGGGCCAGACCCATGGCAGCTGTAAACTGGTATTTCCTTGCAGACTTCAAAGGACTACAGGAGTTTAAATTGGCTGAAAGACTGGCCAGTCAGACTCTGGTGACTTATTCTGGGAACAGTGATGAAGTATAAATCCCTTAAAGAGGACAGCCAAAAATATTGGTTACAGAAAGACATACAGCCTTGCAAAACCACCTTTGTCTAGCTTAATATTGAGTTCCCCATACCTCATGCATATTTGTGTCTCCTTGTGTCTCTGCTCCTGGTACTCAGACCTCCCTTTCAGTGGTAACATTGAGCTTGTGTCTAAAGATTTTGAAAAGGTGAACACAGATGATGATGGGTCTCTTCATCCTCATCCATAGCTACAGTCCCTAGACAATCTCCATTTATTTCCTTGGAGGTTCTTCTGTTTCACTTTAGTGTGTGATGCTTATAAGAAAGCCATAATGAACTGATATTACTTTAATTTCATATTCATCTCCAAAAAAATTGAGGAAAATCACAACTTTCAAGCATGGCTAGAGAGGAAGTGAACATTATCCACTCCTACCAGAAGTCAGTGGGAACAGCAAATTCTAAGGACCTTTGAAAATCTGACCTTTTTCTCCTTGCTAATCTGTTTGTGTAAGGACATTATGCAACTGATCAGATCATGTTTCCAATTGGAGACGAAAATAAAATTTTTCACAATGGAACAACCAGGCACTGGAATAATCTCCACAAGGAAGTGGTGGATCCCCAAAATTAGATATTTTTAAGATCCAGTTGGACAGGATGCTGGGACATCTTCTCTAGACTATGCTTTTGCCAAGAAAGGTTGGACAAGATGATCCTTGAGGTCCCTTCCAACCTTGTATTTCATGAATCTAGGAAATTCTTGAATCTTTCCTCTATCTATCCCTTCTTCCTGGCCACAGTGTGTAATTTCTCCCCATGGGCTATTGACCATGCTCTACCAGGCTACCAGCACACTGCACCTGACTGTTTTTCAGTCAGGTACACAAGATCTGGGAAAAAAAAGTCATCCGCCAAAGACAGCAAAAAGGCTGAGAAGAGTCCTAGCCTCTTCCATTCTCCCTTAGCACATAACATCCCTGCAGCAGAGCATCCTATTGTTCTGCATCATAGAAAAATGAATCATTTTCCCTGGTGTAATATTCTCTCATTTGAAAATATGCTTTAGCAAAGCTGAATATTCATGTAATGAAGAATTTAATTTTATTAGTGGGGTAGCTTAACTCAATTTATTTTTGCTTGGGAACTTTTAGTCTTTTCCTTTCTTTTTGAAATGACTGCCATTTCTAAATACGTTGAATCATATTGGAAGGAATGGAAAAAGAAGGCAAACTGAAGGGAAACATTTTACTTTACTTATCTCCTATCCAGCCTTTTACTCAAATATTGGTTTCATAGAAGTTTTCATGTGGTGTTCTATTCTGCTTCAGAATGAAAATAAACTTCAAACTAGTGAAATTTACTATAAAATCAAAATTCTGATTGCCACCGTACATTACTATTTACCTGTCTCAAAATGCTAAATAAAACCTTTGAAATTCCCGGGGACACTAAAGTGAAGCAAGCAGGTCGTGCTTAAAGCAGGCTCCTATCCCTTACTAGTTCTCTTGCATAGTTAATACAGCTTTTCAAATAAAAGAAAAGGAAGCTATCAGCATCCTATAGTGGTTTTGGCACTTAATTGATGAGGTGAAGGAATGGTGTATCTGTCTCCATGAAGATTTTTGTAGCGCTGGCAGACAGAAGAAACATTTTGCAGTCAATGTGTGCTAGACAAAACACATTCGATGTCTTTTCTCCTGAAGACAAAAACTATAAATGTTATGAAATGTCCTCCCAGGTAATTTTGGTGAAAGAAGTTTGTTCATACAAACAGCACATATATCAGAAAAGTAATAAACAAAGGTCACAGTGTCATTAAGCAAGGTTTTTGTATTGGCATTTTGGGGAGTTTGTAACAGGATCTAAACTGAGACATTAGTCATTGATGGAACCATTAGTAGAAATAATATCACTTGAAGTCCTTTTAGTATTTTTTGTAACACATATAATAAGAGACCTCAAAATGAACTTTAAATCCTCATTTCCAGTCAAATAAATTCTCTTACAACTGGCTATATACCTTTAATGGCAGACTTTTTAATTTTCCAGACTTAAAACAGTAGCTAACCCTTGCTGAAGCAAAGCTGAGCTCAGCAAAGAGAGAGCTTGGAAACACAAATGTACTGCACACATAGAAACTTCCCACTGACTTTCAGCTTTACCAACTTTCCTTTGGCTTCAGCATGCTTGATTAAGACAACTTCAAATCACAGAATAAAATTAACTTAATTCATATATTGTTTCGTATCATGCTCAGAATTTTTTAGAATTACATACTATAGGGTAAAGACATACTCTGGGTGAGAGAGGACTCTCTTCAGTCTCGAGGAGCTTGGTTTACCTTATATCCTTTTACATTTTTAAATCATCTGTAATTTGATATACTGGTTTTACTTGGGGAAAAGTGGTTTTTGAATCTTACTAACAATCAGATCAAAGCTAAAATCTGTCATTGATTACCAAAGGATAAAACAAGCAGATAAAAGCAACTAAGTAACTGCTCATCAAATTGATTTTTGCTATTTCTGCCCAAGGACTTGTATGTCCCTCATAGCTCAAGAGGGTTGGTCAAAGCAAAGGCAATATAACACCATCTTAACTGCAAATCCTCACTTACTGCTTGTTCTGTTTATTCTGTGACTCACAGAGATAAGAAAAATAGGATAATTACCAGAGACCATAATGCTGTCAGCAAACTGGAACATGCTTCATTACACTGCAACATAATCACAACTTTGCACTGAAGTAGCTGTGGCAGCGCCTGTAATGAGAAGAGTTATGTTGTCATTTATTATGTTAGTCAGATTTGTCATGGTTTGCAACGTGGCAGTTTAGAGCATGTGTATAATAATCTCAGGTCATTTATTATATGCACATAAGTAAGAGTGATAGGTTTTGCACCAGGGACAGCTGAAACCTGTGTAGTCATTTAGCACTTAGGCTAGAGCAGGGCTGAGCCTTCAGCTCATGATTTCAGGCAGTGCTGCAGGTCTGAAGAGGCCTGCAGTGAGTGTGGGTAGACAGTGTGCTTCCAGGGACTATTGCCTCTGGAGCCCTGTTGGGTCTGGGTCCTTATAAAGCCCATTGCTGAACTAAGCTGGCAGTTTGTTGCAGTGTCAACAGTTTCAACGGTGAATAGTCTTTCTTCTCTTTAACTTGTTTGTGAGGTTTAGGGGGGTGATAAAGCCGGGATGTACTAAGGGCAGGAAGGCTAAGTAATGCACTTTGCAGTGCTGGCTCAGAAGACATGGCATGACTGGGTTTGGTGAGGCAATCACTTGTTTTGCTAAAGTAAGCCTCTCAGCATCCAGGAAAGTGATCCTTCATCTCTCTTCCCCTCAGTGAGACCATGCCTGGAGCACTGGGTCCACTTTAGGGCTCCCCAGCATGAGAAAGACATTGCCACACTGGAGCAAGTCCAGTGGAGGGCACCTGGAGAGGTGGGGGCTGTGCCACATGAAAGGTAAGGAGAGGTAGTGAAATTCCCAGTCATTGTAAGGAGCTGTGGATGACAGGAGCTCACTGCTCTCTTCAGCTGTCTACTTGGAGGAGACACAGAGGAGGGAGCCAGATTCTTCCCCGAGGTGCACATGACAGGACAAGGTGTGACTTACACAAACTATGTCTGAAATTTGTAAAATAGTAGCAAATGCATCTCTAAGCATGGGGCTCAAGTCTAGGTATAAAAAGGAAATAAGGAATAAGCATATAGTCCATTTAATGCCCTACTTGGAAAACAGACCACAATGATGAGAATATGGCATATAGTGCTTAGCTCTGGTATGAATATCAACTATCTGGCTTTTCTTCCTCTCATGACAATGCTTTGGAAACCATGCCAATATATTAGCAACTGAAATAGCATTAGCATTGCAAAACTAGGCTTTATTGAAAACCACTCACAGGCCTCCCAGCTGTAGTGTGACAGCAACTTGTGTACTTTACCAGCTGGTTGGTAAGTAAAACACGCTCTGGACAATGGGAACCAACTCGTCAAGCAAAATAGTCTCTCTGCCTATGGAGACATGGGTCCAAGGGTGGGCATCTCCCCTTTACTTCCACAGCAATACACAGGAATAGAGGAGAAACAGGGGTGAGAAGGCCTAAGAAATTGTAGGAGGACACAGAAGAGCTATCAAAACCAGCAAAATTGCAGAAGACTCTTTAGGAATTGGTGTTTGTATAAATCCTGTGCTGCAGGCTGCACCTGCAGCCCAGTAAATCAGGACTGCAAGCATACTAGCCCAGTTCAGAGTGTGTGTCTGGTAGAGAGATGCTGGTTCTACACTCCTGCAAGTGTGCTGAGCTTCCACTCATCTTGAGGGAGTGGGTAGATCTGCCGTTGGGAAACAACTGGAAACAGGGAGACCTTGATTTCATTCCCTAAATGCTGTGTGGGGTGTAGCAGCATCAATTGCTTGGCAGAAGTGGGATGGTTACCAGCCCCATACACAGCTTCTCTGACAATTTCTGCTGTTCCCCCCATGGAACTCTTCTGTTTGGCAAGCCTGATTGTTGGGAAAGGTACCAATGGTATTAGGGGTTTTTTTCTAGGCTTTCATGATTAATTATTAAAAAGTCTTGAGCCACACTGAATAATTCATTCAGACCTTGTTATGTCATGAGGGAAGGCAATTGTTGCCTTGGAATGACTGTGTATAACTTCCAAAAGTCAGGGACTGGGTGAGGAGGACATGTCTGAGCTTGATCAGTGACATGAAGCAGCCAGAAATGGCTGGTGTTTCTGCCTGCACTTTTGTTGGCACCTTTTTGAAGCGGGACTACCATGTTGAAGAAAAAGGTCCTGCAATAGCAAAGCCTTTCATCCTAATAAAAAACAGCCTTCACAGTCAAGGTAGAGAAGAGTTTTATAAAGCCTAGAATTTCTGCTTTGTTATCACTACTTCCAAAAGGATTTCAATTTTTGAAGGAAGTTTGGTTTTGACAGCTGTATATATTTGACTCTGTGGAGAGAGGAGTGGTTTAGATGTGCTATCCCCCTGTGCTGACGAACACTCAGCATTGCTACCTCAGCACAGCAAAGCAGGAGGGGGAAAAATCAAGTGCGTTTTACCAAGCTAGAGGCCAGGCAGTGTGGGCTTCCTCAGAAATCAGCCAGTGGTGCTGGAAAAGTTTTCCTGACAAGTCATTGCTCTCCCTCACCTCCCAGAAAATACCTGCTTCAACCTGCACTTTGTCCGTGCCTTCCTCTTGCCTCTCTCAGTCTTTCAGCCACCACTTACTGCTGCAATACCCCTTGTACCATCTACAGTGTTTGCTGTCATATGTGAGCTCCTTTGAATGGCTCCCGATGCCTCTGCAGGCCTTTGGTGACAGCAGCAGTGACGGACAAGTGTGCTGTGATCCTTGCCTGCAGCAGAATAATCTCCTGCAAAATGGATCCTCTCTAGGAGACAACTGGGAAAAAAATTCCTCTCATATTTTTGGAAAGTAGGCAGGTTTCTCCTGGCAGTGGGAAATAATGTACCTGTAAGGATGGGAAAATCCATCACCTTGGGAAGGGGCAGGAGGAGATCAGGGTCTCTCCCAGCAGCTCTGCAGTGCATAGGCTGATCTGGACAGACAGGTCCAGAGCATTCCTGACATCTTGTTTTCTGCTGTGACGCAACAAATGGGAGCAGAAAACACTGCTGACAGACACCTCTAGAAACACTGGTGGGAAGTAAACCAGGATGTCCTCTGAAGTTCTGGCAGTAAGAGACACTTTAGAGAGAGATGAAAATGTTTGTCAAACCACAGTGATCTGGGCCAGCTGTGAAACAGCCTCTGTGTGGTCCTCTGCCCCTCTGAATGTTTTGTTTGTACCTGTTTCCTCGCATACAAAACCAACATGTGGATTCAAGTGGCCAGCACTACAAAGACTTTTTGGGGAGCTGTTCTAACTGAGGCTGGCTTTCATACATGGACAGGAGCAAAGAAATGCATTTGCAGCAACACAACAGGACCAGTTGCTGATTTCTTGTGGCTGGCCAGTTCATTCCCCACCATCCTTCCGAGGCAAACTTTGCAAAGGAGGGAAACTGCAACATTTCCATTGCTACCTCTCTTAACCAGGGAATATCTGTGAGTCGCCCTGCAGCTCTGAAGGTCAGGGTAACCAGCAACAACCAAAGCAAAATTTTAAATATCAAGTGATACTGGGGTGAATAAAATAAAGTTGAGGATGACCCAGTTCGAGAATGACACCAAAAGCCCTTGTAGAAGGAAGGAAGATATTTGTTGAACAATAGCACTGCTGAGGAACACCTCATAAACATCTATCTGGAGCAGCAGCAGTGGACAAGGCACATACCCCAAGTGAGCATCATTATCACATGTTGCACCATGAGGCAGTTATTTCCTCTTGTTCACCGCTGATGAGATTGCACATAATTGCCTTCTGGCTGAGCAGAGGATTCAGGAACAGGATACTCCAATGCTGAGAGGCTTGGGAAATCAATCATGTAAAGATCTTTTCACTCAGCTTAACATCCATGAGGCCAGATCCTCGTTCAGGCAACATTTTCACTGATTTAATTGGGGTGTTTTGCTTGGAAGACATTTTTATTATGCAGGAGACACAGCCCACTGGAGCTAGGGGACACCCCAGAGCTTTATGAGGATTTTACGAGGAAGAGAGAAAGAGCTCCCAGGACTTCTTTTCAGTCAGAAATGTGAAAATGATGATACCTTGCTGCATCAAGCAAATTGTTTGTAAACAACTGCTGGTCTGAAACCCGACTTCAAAGCCATGGGCATTGACGAAAGCCCTTTTCCTACTTGCCTGTCTGTAGTACAATTAGTTTTACAACTAAAAGCTGATAGATGCATCAGCCAAGATTAGTCAAGCTGTCATGCAAAGTGCAAACTTTTCCTGTTGGAGGAGCCTTTTTTAGCCCACTTTGCCTTTGGGAAACATTCTAGGCTTGTGTTTTTATTTTTCGAAAGAGAGTTGCACTGAAATTTGAAGGAGAGTCTCTCTGGTGCTTAGGAGCTCAGTAAATGCTCCTTGATCCTTGCAAAATATTTCCTGCAGGCCTCTCCTGCCTCAGGAGGCTTCTTGTTGAGAGCTAAATACTTTTGCATCATGGGGGGTTGGGGGGAAGGAGGTGTATTTACAAGAGGAGGCTAACTGTGCATTGTGTTTCCATACACAGTGTTTCTGCACAGAGCAGATGCCTGACCTCACACTGCCAGCTACTGAGCACGGATGTGCTGACAACTATGAGCCCTCACCAGCTTGCCTTCCCACACTGTAGGGGGCTTACCAGAGTGAGGGGCCGAAGTACAGCCTTTGAGCAAGTGTTGAAGTTAGGACTGGTGAGTGTGAGAAGAAAAATAGGTCCTGAAAAGACTAATTTTTAATTGAAGGATGATAAAGCTGAACTGTACAGGAATGTCTATACATCCTGCACTAAGCTGAAGCTTTTCATCTTCAAGGACTCTGATTTTTCTCAGTAGATGTGGAATTCAGATGCTGCATTCAGAACAGAGCACACATGCTATATTCACATTGCATATTGAAGCACTGAGTGCGTTGCTGAGCTGCACTGCTGAGGACAGGGTGATAACACTTAACCCGAATAATAACATCAGGTCATATTTTTAATGCTATGCCATAGTCAAACAGTTTCTATATTGTAGGCCATAGGTCAGCTGGCACTCAATGACACATTACGTTGGAAAACATCTACCTCAACTCCATCCTGCTTTCAAGGACAGACTTGAAAGTAAGGGATTCTTTTTA